TATTAAAAAATGGATAGTAAAAATGAAAACTAAAAAGACCTGCAACCAGTTCTCTCTCTCTCTTCATGTTTGGTTTTCAACCTTGAGAATGTCCAAGGTCACAAACGAGTTTTCTGTACTGCACCAAGAGGGTGAAGGTCACCATATGCACGATAATAAAATAGTTTTTTTCAATTTTGTCACCTTTCCTCCATCACTTCCCTTATAAAGGGAAGATAGACAGCTCCCACCTTCTGACTTCTGTGTAACCCAGATTTGTCTTTTGATGGTTTGTGCGGGTTAATGAACTGATAAAGTCCTCAGTGTGCTGAGTTCAACAAAACTAGAGTCTTAGCTGGAGTTAAGTCTGATTTACTGATAAATAGATAAAGCAAGTTGCTTAGAGGACTTTCCAAATTATCTTCCTCAAACTATTTTAAGTGCTGTCATTGGAAAATAAATATGCTACACTTGGGGGTTTTCGGCCAAACTGTTCTGTCAACCTCAGCTCTGAGTTCCTCAGCTCTCATCAAGTGCATGAAGACACTTAGTCTTTCCTGTTTCGGTAGTTCAGACATCAGCATGTTTTCTCCAACCTAAAATAAGCCACCTAAACATAGGACAAGAGCAGATACCAAAATGAAAAGGCCCCTGTTTTATTTAGTACTGGCTGAAGTGAAGATGTCTTAGCTTCTCGCTTGGGGCTCGTTTTCCTACCCCCAGACACCATAAAACAAAGCATTAAGCAGCTAAACAAAGAGATCATTAAAAGATATTTATGAAGGTAAAACATTAAAATCTTTCCAGTAGCTTGTAGGAGATCACTAAGCATATCTCGTTGGGGGATGGGAACAAGGAAAGAATTCAACTTTGGACACTTGCCAACACCATCTGAAAAATTTTCAAACAGCCAACTTTGTCACAGGCACTTATTTAGTTTCTTCCAGAAGTAAATTAAGGGAACAGAATTGGAAGCTGCAGGTGGGATGGATTAATAGCGCTGCAGAGTTATTGGGGATGTAGGAAGTGCTTTGTAAACTGAAAGTAGTCCATGAATATGCCACCATAAATACCTTTATCACCGGGAGTAGTGAGATTAATAATGATTAAGTGAATTAAGGAAGCTGAGTTGGATGTTATTTTTTCACACAAAGAAAAACATGCCAAATTAGTAAATGTTAAATGGTAGCACTAGCCAATAAATCCCATTTTGTCACACAAAGAAAACATGTCAAATTAGTAAATGTGAAATGGGAGAACCAGGCAATCAATGCCATGAGTGAGCAGATCTTCTGACACCATTCCGTCAGAGGACACCTAGTTATATCTTATATAAAGCCCCCTTTCCCACCAGCCACTCCTCGGAAGGAAGGTTGGGCAATCTACTTCCATAGTGATACTGCCTCGGAAACCCAAGGAGGATTGCTATGAGTCGAGTCTGACTCGACGGCACACAACAGCAACAAGCTCTGCCTTAAACGCTTGTCTTTGCCTTTCAGAGGTAAGAGGCTAGAAGCCAGATACCTGGTCTTCTTGTCCATATGTTTGAGGTTTGACTCTTATTCAATGGGTATCCACACAGCTCCCCTTAAACTATTTGTGACATTATCGGAGTGCTCCCACACATTCTCTTGATATCAGGGGATGCCAAGCAAGAACAGAGTAAAAACTACTATCTGTGGACTCCTTGTCCTCGTTAATCAAACACCAGGCCAGCTGCTGTCGAATGTGTGTCAGAGCAGAATTGTGCGCCATAGGACGGTCAATGGCTGATTTTTGGAAGGAGATCACACCAGGACCTTCCTCAGAGGCACCTCTAGGTGGCCACGAACCCCCAATCTTGCCATTAGCAGAAGAATGAGTTAACCATTTGCCCCACTCTGAGACTCCTTTGGTTAATCACTACATGCACATTGACTCAGTTAATCTTCACAATAGTTTTATAAGGTGGATGCCACCATGACTCTTGATTTACAGGCTAAAAACTGAGGCAGAGAAGCTTGAAATGACCTTCTCAGACATCCGGTCCCCCTTTCTCCTAGCACCCGAACCCAGGCATTTGCCGTGATGAAATAACTGTTTTCTCTGTGGATGTGTCTAGCTACCCAGTGGAGATTGGCTAGACCTGGGAAACAGGCCAAACTGCATGAAGGTGGACTACTGTTTCCTCTTCTCTCTGTCCCTGCCTCTTTCTCTGACCTCTCCTTCCAGCTTGACCTCATTTCCACTCTTCCCTTCCTTTTCTTTCCAAAGGCAAGTACGCCATGCGAGACCTTGTCCACAGGCTGCCAGGTGGGAACAACAGCAACAATGCGGCAAGCAAGGCCATGTCGGATGACACAGTGACAGCTGTGTGCTGCACCCTGCATGAGGTGATCACTAAGAACATGGAGAACGCCAAGGCCTTACGGGATGCTGGTGGCATTGAAAAGTTGGTTGGCATCTCCAAAAGCAAAGGAGACAAGTAAGTTAGGTGGTGACGTCCTCGCGTTGTCTTGGTAGAATTGGTTTGAAGCATCCCTGCTGTGCCCTGGGTGTAGGTGACCTCTGGAATGTCACTGAAAAGAATTTATCCTTGATAATCAAGAGAATTAAACAATAAATGACTTATGCTCTCCATGCCCACAGGGAAACTGCTCTTCCTGTTCTTTTGATGAGCTAAATAACTCATCACTTGGTGACCAGTGATACTGGTAGACTTGACAACCCAGTGTGTGTATTAGGAGTGTTCCTGCAAGTTGGAGAAGACAACTAACTTCACCAGCACACAGTAGGGAATTGTTTGTGCCTCTCTGATGGCAGGTGCACGTGTCACTATGTATCCATGTCCTGTTGCTCAGTTCCTATGCAGTTCTGCATAGTAAGTCCTCATGCAGGAAGCTTAGGGGAGAAAATGGAGCATCCTGGGGTCACAAGTCCCTGGGTGACAAAAACGGTTAAGCACTTAGCTGACTTTGTTAGTTAAAACCCACCCTGAGTCACTTTGAAAGACAACCTTAAAAACCCCATGGGGCACTTCTACTCTGCATGCATGGTGTCATCATGAATAGCCATTGACAGAAACTGGTTTGGTTTCGGGTTGGAGCCAGAATTAAATACTAACCCAGCACCCTCCCTTCTAGCTGTGGCAACTGGAGCAAATTACCTAATTTAGCAAGTTATAATGCCTATACATTCCAATCTTAAACTGAGGATGGGCTGTCTTAATATCCTTCCAGAAAGAAATGATAACCAAGTCTTCAGGGATGAGCTGCATTTCCCAGGTAGAAAGGGTGGTGGCAAGGAGAAGCAGGGCATCGCTGTGAATAGAATGAAAGAAGAGAAAGCTCCAGGGCGATGCAATTGCACCTCCACAAACAAGAATGTCCCCAGCTTGATTTAAAAATCAGGGCTATCTCCTTACTTGTACGAGAAAAGTATCTTCAGGAGGTGAGAATCCGTTTATCAGGGAGCTGTCAATTGTACAGCAACATTCTCTAACCTTAATTAAATTTTGCCTCCTGGAAGTCCCTCAATGTAATCAAAGAAGATTAAAGGGGTAAAAACTTTAGTTATCAACGGTCTATTTCTTGAATTTTCATTCCTTCTCCCCCCTCCATTCCTTTACATCTGGAGGCTAAATAATTTTTCCTTTGTTATTAAAAGCTGTGAGGGATTACTTTAAGACTTTTTGGAAACTCTATCCCATTATTATTTTCATTTAATTCTATTTCTTATGATTGTATTACAAAAGAAGTTTCAGGAATTCTGGTTAAGCATCATGAGACCGCCAGATAAGTTCAATCTATAGTTCAGTTTTAGGATTTGAATCCTTTTCTCTGTCGAGTGGAAAAGCACCATTGGACTTAGGTGTAATAAGTGTACAGTGTAGATTTTTGGCTTGAATGGTATCTTCCAATCTTACAAACCAATAAACAAAAAAAGTGGACACTGAGTTGATTTCAACTCCTGGCAGCCCCACGTGTGGCAGGGTGGAACTATGCTCCTTAGGGTGTCCAGTGGCTAATTTTTCAGAAATAATCACCAGGCCTTTCTTCTGAGACATGTCTGGGTAGACCCAAACCTCCAACGTTTTAGGTAACAGCCCAGTGTGCTAACTATTTGTACCTCCCAGTGACTCTTGGGTGATGCTGTATTATAAAGTGCTATTCCTCTCAGGCGGTAAGTCATATGGTTTTCTCTTCATTTAGCTTCAGCAGATCTTTGAAAATGCTAACTGAACTGCTTACCTGTTTTGAGTATTAGGAAGTTATTGTGTTTGTGTTTTGTAAGCAAACACACACATAGACATGCACAGAATAAAAACATAGTCCGAACAACACTCTTGATATAATTATCAACTTTCATGAGCCATTCAACATACATGTAGGGAGCTTTGGAGAGTGCATTGGCGTGTGTCCCAACTACGTGGGCATCCCTGATGCAGTGAGAATTACCAACAAGCAAACCAAACCAATGCTGACAATCCACTTCCAACTCTGGTGACCCATGTGTGTCAATGTAGAACTGTGCTCCATAGAGTTTTGAGAAAATAGAACACCAGGCCTCTTTCCCAAAAACCAGTTGCCCATGTGGACTGAATGGGCCTTAAAGAGAAGAGATGCTTTTATCAATCCTATGTGGAAAGAAAATAATTTTGGGGAAATTAACAAAAAATCATTTGGGATCATTGTCTTTATGTCTATGTATCCTTGTTGCCAAACCAGAGGACAGCCTTGAGAGATCTGCCCAGTCTTAATGGTTGATGTGGGAAGTTTCTTCCCCACCCGATGATCTTACAAATGCCCTTAATTTGCCTGAAAATTTCTTTAGTTGCTTGTTTCATATCACTGTTGCATATCTTTTTTTCCCAAATGTCAACAGCCTGGATTCATGAGTTTAATAAGAAGTATTGAATTGGCCTGAACAAACCATCCTCCCAGTGCTAGTTCTCCTTTTCAGTCATTCTCATCCATTATTTCATGCCGTTTATCACTTTTGTTTACACTGACTAATTTGGGCGTCAAAACATGGTTTTTGGAGCCTCATATAGTCTCACAACTAACTACTCCCTAATGTCCTACCCACACTTGTATTTCATTATTGCTTTTCACTATTATCAAAACAAAATGTATCTGAGAGAAATGCTCCAAAGCTTAGCCCTAAATACCCACTCATCACTCAACTCTGCTACAACAGTAGACAAAGAGATTCCCATGACTTCCTGGGCATATTCGAATATAACAGAAATTCTTTATTGAAAATGGAACTTTCAAAATTGGGAATAATTTAATAATTGGAAACAGGAGCAATATAAGTTGTCTGTAATTAATTTATACAATGCTTGCTTGCACAGCTATCCTCCATAAATTGTCCTTAGAAAATTATTTCCAACAATAAGTTTAATTCAAGCCTGATTTTTGTTTGAGATAACAGAA